CTGTGAACATAAAAACTTGCAGCCACTTGTGAAAGAGATGTACTCTTGCTCTGGAGTGTGTTACTAAATACGTTAAAGCTGTAGTGAAATGCTTCTTATCATGTAGTTATTAAAATTTTTTTTTAATGTTCAAAGCTAAAAAAAAAAAGTACTTATTGTGGAATGACTACCACAACCTGTGTATCCTACGATGTGACAAGCATCCTATTGGGTGATAAATTATTTCACACTGTCTTTTGTCAGTAAATGATGCAAGTTTAATTTTGGCACTTAGAATTATTCCTAAACATTAGGTCAAGAGCAGTTCTTAATCTGAAGCTGGAAAGTTGAGCTTCCTCTCACCTACAATCAAAGGAAAAAAGAATATTTCCAAGGACAAAAAGAAATAAAAGGTATTTTCATCCTGTTTGTCATTTAATATGAAAGAACATGCAACAACAAGAACATGTGGAAGCCAGGGGTCAACTTCAGGTGTTGTTCATCAGGAAGTGTCCACTTTGGATTTTGGGACAGGGTGTCTCATTGGGCCCTGGAGCTTGCTTAGTAGGCTAGGCTTGCTGGCCAGTCACTGCCAGGATCCACCTGTCTCTATCTCCCCAGTGTTGAGAATACAAATGTGAGAACAAGCACATCAAACTTTTTAGGATGATGCTGAGGAAGACTTAGATCTTCACGCTCACACAGCAAGCACTTTACAAATGGAGCTATTTCCCCATTTTTTTATTTTAAATGAAATGTTGGCAGAATGCTTCTGAAATCTGTTTTCATATTTGTGTTCTAATGCTGATTTGGTGTAGCTTATAACCTGACCAATGCTTAAGGTCAAGTATATATACAAGGTGAATAGAGGGAAAAAATGATGAAGAAATAAAATTATTGGGTACATTTACTACTAGGTTACAAATTATTATTATTATTATTATTATTATTATTATGTCTTTTTGAGACAGGGTATCCCTGTAGCCCCAGCTGGCCTTGAACTCACAGAGATCCACCTGCCTCTGCCTTGTGAGTGCTGTGATTAAAGGCGTGTGCCACCACACCTGGCTGGTTATAGCTTATTTTTAAAAAAGTAAGAAATGTTTTGCAAGAAGATGACCATTCTTACCAAAGTTATAGGCTTAAGTTTATAATTAAAGACTGTTTTGGCCAATGCCACAGCAAAAAGAACCAGAAACAATAAGCTAGAATCAACAAAAGATGTGTTTAGCATCAAGAATCAGCATATATAAACTAGATTTACACTTTTGGTTAACTAAAAGGCAGTTAGTCACATCCAAAAACATGGCTCCTTTTGTATGACGTACTTCTGAAAACAAGGAAAATATGGAGTAAGAATTAGAGTCTATCGTATTAATTTTTATTTAAATTCTCAAAGTTTTCATTATCCTTTTATTTCTATAAATTATTTATAAAACACTTGAAATACATATATTTTTAAAAAATGGCCCAGATTATTTCTTCCTGACACTGTCAACCGATTTTCTTTGATAAATTGAAACTTTAAGTTACTTTTCTATTTCCTTTTCAAACCCACTATTTCCCCATTCTATTTTATTTGAGAGTGCCATCAAGGGTTTGTTTGAGAAGGTTCCACCTTCATGGCAAGAAGTTTAGAAGAGCCCTGAATACTCTGAAGTTTAGAAGAGCATACTAAACTTTATAAAGAGAGTATGTTATTATGGTGATATTCTGAAATTTCTGTGTATAATTAGCTCCTTGCAACATAAGGCAACAAATTTAAAAAATGTGTCAATCTTAAGTCACTGAAATGCGGGAGCACACCTCAGTTGATTTATGAGCAATTCTAAATAACAAACTTCTAGACTGTTGCACAGCTAAAATGGCAACAGAAAGAAAATTCAAAGGCTTCTGGAATTTATAAACTCGAATTTTAGGCTAATTTAAAAAACTAACACTACAGAGTAATCAACACTTAAGTTTATCTTTAAGTTTACTAAAACAATGTAATTACAATATAGACAATCTGAGGCCAATGAGATGACTCAGTGGGTAAAAGTTACTGCTGTCAGGTCTAATGACCCGATTTCAATTCCTGAGTCCCATAACGTAGAAGAAGGAACGTGACTCCTCCAAGCTGTGTTCTGACCTCTACACATGCACTGTGGCATGCATGTATCCCATACACAAACACATATAAAATAAATGTTTTTTTAAAAAAATATTTTATTATTTTTATTTTATGTATATGAGTGTATTGCCTGCATGTATGTGAGTGCATCCGTGTCGTGCAATGCCACAGAGGTCAGAAGAGGGCTTTGGATTCCCTTGGAACTGGAGTTAAGGATGGTTCGTAGCTGCTATGTGGGAGCTGGGAATCGAACCTGGGTCCTCTGCAAGAGCAGTCAGTGTTCTTAACCACTGAGCCATCTCTCCAGCCCCACAAAATAAATGTTTTAAAAATAGAAAAGCTAAAGAAAATGAAGGAAAAGAGCAAAAATTGCTGAAGTCTACTATGAAGATAACTAGTTTCAACTGTTCCTTACTTTTTATTCAAATTTTTATTTTATTCTTTGACATGTATGTATACATTCATACATGTATATAATGAATTTCGGTCATGTTTCACCCCCATTGCTTGCTCTCATCCCTCTTTCTGAAAGCCTTGTGGGAAGAACCCACAAGTCCCCTCCTGCTTTCATGCCTTTTTACCACTGAGTCATCATCTCATTGGCCCCAGATTGTCTATATCGTAATTACAATGTTTTAGTAAACTTAAAGATGTGTGTTGTGACCCACCGAGTTTAACAGGATTTACCTGGATGAGCATGGATGGGAAGTTATTTACTAGAGGCACAGGTACTTTAATGTGTGGCTACCCCACTCAAGAAAGTGAAACCACTTCCTGTAGTCACCATTATTCAATAGTCCCTCAGGGAGGGGTGAGCTTCATGAGTCCTTCCCCCTTCAAGGATAAAATGTTGAGGGGCTCAATCAAGTGAAGGTCTCTGACTCAATTTTATTTAAAACTGTCTCAATGAAATTACCACTTTTTGTTTGTTTGTTTGTTTGTTTGAGACATGGTTTCCTTGTAGCCCCAGCAGTCCAGGAACTCACTAAGTAGACCAGGCTGGCCTCGAACTCACAAAGATCCTCCTGCCTCCGCCTCCCAAGTGCTAGAATTAAAGGCGTGCACCACCACACCTGGCTAAATTACCACTTTTAAAACTTAGTTTATTATTTTTATTTTATGAGTATGAGTGCATTGCCTGCATGTATGTAAGTGCACCCATGTTGTGCAATGCGCTTGGAGGTCAGAAGAAGGTGTTAGATCCCCTGGAACTGGAATTATGTATGGTTGTTAGTTGCCATGTGGGTGCTGGGAATTAAATCTGGATCCTCTGCAAGAGCAGCCAGTAATCTTAACCACTGAGCCA